GGAGAGAGAGAGAGAGAGAGAGAGAGAGGAGGGGAGGAGGGGAGGACCCAGGGAGGGGAGAGGAGGGAGGGGAGAGGCAGGCAGCAGGTAGGGGTGGGGCGCCTGCGCACTGGCTTCTCCATTCCCCTCCGCATCGCCCCTCCTCTCCTCCCTCCCTCCCTCTCTTTTTCTTGCAGCATCAAGTACCAACACCTCCCTCCTCCTCTCCTCCCTGCTCTCTCTCTCTCCTCCCTCCCCCACTCTCCTCTCTCTCTCTCTCTCGTCGGTTTTCCTGCCGGGCTGCTGCTGCTTTGCGCGCTGCGGGGCCCACACTGCGACCGCACCGAGGGGGACCAGGAAGAAAAGCCGCGGACCGAAAAGGGGCCAGCCTGAGCCAGAGCGGCGGGAGAGGCACGATTCCTTTTTTAAAAAAAAGCAGAAGAAAGAGCAGAGGAGGAGGGTTTACCGCCGCGGGAGAACAGTAAACCTCCGAAGAAGCAAGCAGCAGAAGGCGGAGACGCGTCACAGCGCCGTTCTCCCTCCCAATCGCTCCGGATCCGTTCATCCACAGACCAGAACCGACGGGAGAGGACGAGCCACAACACAAAGAACCAGTTGGGGAATCTCGGAGCGCCAAAACGACGAACGACGCGGTGTTTGGAAACCTCCCCCCCTCCCCCCCCGGACGCAGGGCCGATTCTTCCGTTTTGTAGCAGCTCGCGGACACCATGAAGGACCGTAACGGCGGAACTTGCGGAGCGAAGCGCACATTTTCCTCTTTTCTTCATCCATGTTGGCCTCCATGATCCCCCTCTCCTCCTCCTCTCTCCTCCTCCTCCCGCAAGCCGCCGCAGCTCCAACGGCCTCCGCCGCCTCTCCTCCGAGCGCCGCGGTGCGGTGCGGTGCGGGAGAGGGGAAGCCGGTGCAATAAAAAAACCTGCCAAATAAAAAAATTAAAAAGAGCCCCATTGGTTTGGCGCCTCTGCGGAGGAGGTGCGGAGGCTGCGGGCTTGTGCTGCGGCTCTCCATGCTGTTGCATACAGAGTGCGGAGCTGCAGATGGAGGCCTCCCCTCTCCCTCCTCTCTCTTCATCGTCTCCTCTCTCTCGGGGTGCGGGGATGTTGGGTTCGTTTGTGCGGGGGGCGCCGGCTGGAGGTCACGGTTACAGCCCGGACATTGTTGTCATTTAGTGTGTTTGAGCTGTGGGGGCCGATGAGAGAGCGGTTAGACGCAGAGGCCCAGCGGCGGCTCTCCGCGCGCGCTCTGCAGCGCTGCATGCATGATGGGGAAAAACGGGTTCGGCTCTAAAAAGAAATTAATATAATAAAAAACGCTCCCTTCCATGCTAAATGTGATCCTGCACGTCCATGCATGCGTGGCCTGGGATGACCTGATGGAGGAGGAAGGGAGGGAGGAGGAGGAGGAGGAGGTTGACTCTCAAATGAGCCGCGAACCAAAATGCAGTGATTTTTTTTTTTTTCCATCGAGGCCGGCATCCTGCAGCCAAGCGCGGCGTCCCCTCCCTGATTGAGCCGCGTGAATGTGGGAGCATCAAGTCCCGATCAGGAGGGTCGATCGGTGGA